ATGGCGTGCACTCGAACTTCTCATCTGCGGTCAACTTTTCATCGTATATATAACACGTGCCCGCGATGTCGGACACCGTCTTGAGTTTCGACGGATTCACAATCGAGTGGCGACTCATCTCCTCCTCATCATCATCGCTGTCACCATCGTTGTCACCGCCGAATCGGTTCCAATGTCTACTCCTTTTCATATCACTTCCGTATTGATTATAATATTCCAGAAGACTGTCGGGTTTTTTGATGGCAACCCAGTTCTCATAGTTTACGACACGATTGAAGAGATTTTTGAGGTCCAATGTGGTGACACTCCTGGGCTTAACGAAAGTGGCGGACTCGCAGTTGGCGCTAGACTTGCATTTCCCCTGACACTCGTCGCGTGTTTTAGCCTTTGGTGTCAATTTGTATTTCTGTACAATGCAGTGATTCTGATACTTTCTGATTGTATCTGGACACATTCGCCAATGTTAGAAAACAAATATTTAAAAATTAAAATTATAGTTAAAACATTTCGCGATAGAGTTTAAAAAACATAATTATATAAATAAAGTAAAGTTACTTTTGTGGCAAATCTTTTTGCATTCACTTCCACCACCGCTCTCACCGCCGCTATCACTGCTTTCAGTACTTTCAGTATTAGCTGGATCACTATTAGTCACAGAATTCCCTGCGGTTGTCAGTTCTGTATCATCAGAATCTGGGGTAGATTCCTCGGTTGCAGTGGTTTGCCAGTTGGAGGACCGCGGGTTGTACCGCGAGTTGTGCCAAGAGTTGTACCACTGTTTGGTTCAAGTGGTTGGTCTGATGTGGTCGGTTCAAGAGGCTGGTCCGGTGGTGGTTTGGGTAGGCCCGCATCGTCCGGGTCATTGGCTTCTGCTTTAAGAATCGCTTCCGTTTCCTCCTCTTCAGCTTCAGTGGTCACCACAGCAGCTGCTTTGAGAATCCTATCCGTCTGCACCTCTTCGGTGGTCACCACGGCTTCTGCCTTAAGAATCGCTTCCGTTTCCTCCTCTTGTGTGGTTACCACAGCTTCTGCTTTGAGAATCGCTTCCGTCTGCACCTCTTCGGTGGTCCCCACAGCTTCTGCTTTAAGAATCGCTTCCGTCTGCACCTCTTGTGTGGTTACCACAGCTTCTGCTTTAAGAATAGCTTCCGTCTGATCCTCTTCGGTGGTTACCACGACTTCTGCTTTAAAAATCGCTTCCGTCTAAAGACAAATAATTATTTTTATAAATGCCTTTCATATGAATGTCTTGTCTTATGTAAAATTCTCAATATTTGTAATTTAAACTCCAGCGTAAAGGTAATCAATTATAAGCCGGGCATTAAATTACACGCTAAACAAATACCTGTTGTGTTATTTGCTCCTGGCACACTATTAAATAATAATCACAAAATAATGACAGACTAACGAATATAAATGCCTTAAAATACATTGAACTTTGTTTTTAAACACACTTCTGATGAGAAAGCCTTATATTATCACTTTTTTCGACATTTAATTCTGTGATGAGATCACAGATTGAAAGGATTGGGTTTCCATTCATTCAGTGGTTATAAATACGAGTGAATGCATCAAAACATTCAATTATTTCTCAAACTCTCAAACAATTCGCTATAACTTATAATTTATACGGTTTTCTAACAGTAATTCAATTGTCTCTAAAACTTTTATAAACTTCTAACTGTTTTCTATGATATCCAGTTCATAAACTATCCATTCATTGAGAGTGAATACAAGCGAAGGGATCAGTGATGCGGTGATACATTATCTCACACTTTGGCATCACTTCCAACCCATTCACTCACTAAAGAGTTTTATCTCCAAAATAATTACTTTTTCGGTTCCTTTCGTTCATTTATTTTATAAGACAATCAAAAGTTACAAAAAAGAAAGTCTGAGAGAGAGAGAGAGAGAGAGAGATAATGGGAGAGTATGTGAGAGAGAGAGAGTCTGCGCACAACGCGTGTCTGTATTGCCATAACATGACAGCAATACTGCATTCAATGATCACATGTTTGGACCGAAAAGTAAACCAAATATTTGTGCAAATCTTCAGTGATTTTGGTTTCGGCCGCAAAGCATATGATTAAAGACGTGAACCAACAGATGGACGACGAGAGACAACTCGACGACTGTATGGACGACACGGAAGAAGGTCTGTCACTCATGTCTTGAATGCCATTATCTCTAACGTTGCCATTCGTTTCCATTCGCGCGAAGACATCGAAATCATCGAAAACGAAGACATCGAGGACTTGGATGCGAGCGATGAGGAGGCGGACGAAGACTTTGTCGACGAGTCGACGCAAGTGTTCAGTGGACACGAGAAAGCGGTTCTCTGTTGCGGTCTAAGCGGCGACAAGAGGTACGCCGTCAGCGGCGGCGAAGACGACAAGGCTTTCGTCTGGCGGACCGACGACTCGGGCGTTGTCTTCGAGGCCATCGGACACAAGGAGTCCGTGGTTTGCGTCGGATTTAACTCAAACGACACACACGTGGCCACCGCTGACATGAATGGCTTGATTCAGGTGTGGACTATGAGTGGAGAGAAGGTGTTTGACTTCGAGGTCGACGAAATCAATTGGATGTCGTGGCACCCGATAGCCCACAACGTGCTGATGGCGGGAACCGCTGCCGGCGACGCCTGGATGTGGAAACTGAACCCATCGCTCACCGCCGACTGCAAGACGTTTCAGAGTTTCGGTAAATCCAATTGTGTCGCCAAATGCCTGTCCGATGGGAAGCGTATTGCAATGGGTTATGAAGACGGAGTGATCCGCATATGGGATCTCAAGACAGTGTCCGTCATTCACGCCATAAGCGGTTTGTTTGACACGAATCTAGCCTTTGATTTAAGACAATAACTCTCGAATCGATTGAACAGACTTTAGCGCACATAAGGCAACGGTGACGGCACTCGACTGTATGTCCGACGACACGCTCATCGGTTCCGGTTCTCTGGACTCGACGGCCAAACTGGTGAACACTGTGACGGGCAAAGTGGTGGCGACCTTCCAGTGCTCCAACACTCCCCAGGATAGCGACGAAGACGTCGATTCGGTCGAAAGCATTGGATTGAATTCAGCGCTCTCTGTGTTGGCGACGGGAACCGTTGAGGGATCGGTAGATATTTGGGACATCTCTACGCAAATTAAGCGCCACTCCTGCAAACACAGCACCGGTATCTCGAAGTTGCTGTGGGATCACAATAGTCCGCATTTGTTATATACGGCCGGTTTGGACGGCGTTCTCAACGTTTTTGACTCCAGAAGCGGCGAACTAATGGGCACTAAAAGAGGTCATTCCCATCATATCCTCGACTTTTGCATATCCAGGGACTCGAGTATCGCGTTAACCGCTTCCGAAGACAATTCGTGCAAATTATTCTCACTTTNTCGCGTTAACCGCTTCCGAAGACAATTCGTGCAAATTATTCTCACTTTCTTAAGAGTGTGTTATGAATGAAATGATTGTAAACTTAAATTAAATGTTAATTATTTGTGAAATAAAGGCCTTATTTTGTGAAGTTATATGTGATTTATGTGTTTGAAATTCTTACATGAAAAACTCGTATATTAATATATTTTTATGAATATATTTTACTAAATCTAATATACGGGAACAAAAAGGGAGTTCAATGTTGAATGAAAATCTATTTCTCAGCGATAATCCCCGAATCATGAGATGAGTTAATAAAATATTTGTAAAGTTTTTTTTGTCGCCCAAGTATTATATAAATTGAATTATATTATATTGTATGACGAGCCCATTGTTTTGCGTTATATTAAAAAATTCAATACACAGTGTACTATATTTGGTTTGCATTTGTGAAACCGTTGAGGGAATATTTGAATATAAAAGTTAATATTAATAAAGTAAAGCTTTTTTCGTTATGAATAGCGTATTGTTTTGAATGAACTAGATTCTGTGTGCTTTTAATATCAATATTTCATAGATTTATTTATTTTACTTATTAGTACTGAGTGCACCGGTATTAATAGTAATATTGCAAACTTTGAAGTATTACACGTTGTGCCAGAATTTAAACTAATATAATTTATATTAGTTACGATTAATTATGATTTATATTTTTGAAGTTTTAATAAATATAGTGTTAATATTAGACATAATTTTAATAAACAAAACATATTGCACCCGTATATTTCATACAAAGCGTACTAACATTAATTTTGAATCATATTTAAAGTATTTATAAAAATTAATAAATAAAACTTTTATTAATTGCAGAGATTTTCATCAAAAATAAACAAATTTTTACGATAGAATTAGAGATATTATTTAAATAAAGTTTTCTATAATAAAAATGTTTCAAATATCAAATGTCATATTCTTTTTGTACAGAATTTGTATACAAAAAGAGGTTAATGTGCAAAATTAATTATTTGCAGCAAACGGCTATACATGCGATGCATGCAAACGCTATTACTGGTGTAATGTATTGTATTTAAATAACCAGATTTGGGTGAATTGGGGTTAGGGTTTGGATACATAAACAATGCATTGAATGAATGTTGCATTTTCCGAAACCACCCGTAAATGAAAAATTATGCAAACATTTCGGTGTTCATCGAAAACACATAACAATTCAGTATTTTTTTTCTAAATGCCAAAAGAATTTTTACAAAACAACAAAAAAGTTTTTAACATTAAAAATAATTTATTAGTTCTGAGTGATTGTGTTCCGGATTAAATCCAAACTTTTGTCTAAGTTACTGCTATAACAAATTGAAAAGTTTTAATCTCCATCTCCAGCAACTCCTCACTAATTATTGATATGCCGTTGCCTTTCATACTTACCGTACAGTTAAGGCACAAGTATAACAAATTGCGAGAGAGACTCCTTTTTAATGAAAAACAAAAATCTTTACAAATAATTTAATCAATGTATCGATTATTTGATAAACTTTTTGGCAAAATTCGGAATATTCTGTGCATTTTTAGCCCAAAAATTATTTATTTGTTTTTACTTTAATATGTAGAGCGTTTGTTAAAATGAGATAAAATTTGCTTTCTTCAAAATAAAATATTGAGTCAATTTTTATCAATTTACAAAATTCTCTATAGTCTGTACTGGAAGATTTAAAAATGTGTGCTAAATAATGTAGAATAAGCACAAGTTTTATACGGCATATGCAATATACAGAATCTATTTATGAATAAATAGATATTATGCGATATATTTATATTTAGGACAATAGTTCAAACATTTATATTTATATTAACTTTCTAATCAATATTATAATGAAGGGAATGAACTCTAAAATAATTGTTTACCGTATGAATAGTACAAGAGAGAGATATATAGATAGAGAGTGAGAATAACAAAAAATAATTATAATGTAGCGTAACACTATTAACAGGGTAGTGATGGCCCACTTACGAAGGTATGGGTTTACCGAAAGAATACACTTTTGAGAACTTAAACTACAGAATCGGAGAATCGACTGAATTATTGAATGAATTCTGTCGGAGGAATAGACACCAAAAACTATTGAATGGAAAGGCGATGTTTCCATAGAAACAATGGGACCAATAATGTTGTGTTTGGCTCTCCAGAGCAGACACTTTCCGGTATGCAATGCACTCAACGCTACCATTCAATGCAATCCCTCACTCTTAGAGCAATAACTTCTAACTCTAATGAGAGAAAACACAATCCATTTTCCAATAGCAAAGTCATTCACATCTCTCGCGTATTTTTTAATCAAATCAATTTTGCAGCATCTAGATGAATTTATGTAAATAGTTTCCATATACGACTTGCAAAACACAGAATTTATTGGTTTTGTCGTAGTGTTTGTCGGTATTGTTTGTGAGTATATATATGCCTACGGAATGGCGTTGTCCTCGGTTGCCCTCCACTCACATATAGGTTATTGACTCTCCGTATACTCCACACAATTCTCTCATCGCATAACAAATGGTAAGAAAAATGTTTGCTATTATTCTTGAGCCCATTATTGCATTCAATTTTATGTATTTTACAAATACATAACACTTTTTGTTGTTATTTAAATTTCTCCATGAATTGTGTGCGACACTAAATGCCAAGTGATTATTTGCAGTAAATGCACAAATCATTTCAAATGATTAAAAGACATCATTTCCATAATTTCCCTAAAGATTTGCAATAAATGACAACTTTTATGCATTTTCACTGAAAATCCTACTTTCACTTAATGAACGCTGAGTGAAATAAATAATTGTTTATTATCAGTAATTTATATAAATTTTTAGTAGGTTATAGAGAATTTGAAAGGAATATTCTCCACTATTCTACTGTATTATTATGCATGTTTTAATTATTAGTTTACATAATTACATAATAAAATTAAGCCAAAACATATTTATGCACTACATTATTTAGATAATTATAGCTGTAGTCTATTTATAAACTAATTTTTAATAAATATTATTATTAGGGATTAACATTTATTTATTTACACAAATATTGTAAAAGGTTTGTTGAGATGACAAGTGCTAAACAATTGTGTTGGAAATGCCTTAAAAGTCACTTTCTTGCAGTACAGCAAACTATTTATACAGCAATTCATGTTTTAAACATAATATGCTTTGCTTTTCAATAGGAAAAGGATTGCTGTGTTTATTTCTTTTCCTACCACACCCCAGTGAATTATACCATGATCAATTCACAGACAAAGCCCAGGGATAGAAACTCCAATAATAGGATAGGATTACAATGACTCGTTTTTTAATAACAATTTCAAAATATCTTTCTAATCCAAAAGCTAAATAAAATTTTCAAAATTGTGTACAAAAGTCAAAATACTGTATTCTATGTAAAGGCTATTTGAAAAGTGAATGAATAAAATGAATAAAACAATAAAATTTATTTTATTTGCATTGATGTTAATGCTAACCCCTTTTATTCTATACATAATCACGTGACTGACTACTTGTGCAAAGAAAATATTTTTGTAAATTTAAATTAATTATCATTAGACGTTTTGTTTAATTTAATAAAACAATATAATTTATTTTGGCAATTACGGAAATTGTTTTGCAAATATTTTAATTGGTTTAAACTATTTATTTTATAATGTCAAATATTATTAGCGTACAACTTATTTTGCGATTAAAGTGTGGTTTAAAACTAATTAACATTAAATATAAAACTGTATTGATGAGAAAATCTTTTATAATAATTGATTTTTAAAAATCTTATTAATTTTCTCAGAAATACTAATACTATACTAGTATTATAAATAAACTAACATTCGTTATTTATTCGTTTTTATTAAATGTCTTATATGTTACATAAATTTTGCTAATAAATGGTTTAGTTTTCTAAAAAATTGTTTTAAAATTTGTACCAGATTATTGTTCCATTACAGTAACTTTCATTTTTACGATTCTTGAAATCATTACACAGAATGCTCTATACAGTAGTAAAGCTGTGACCCAATAAGACATTCATTACGAGAATCTATGTTTTCATGCTATCAATTATTTCAACATTTTATTTATAAATAGACACAACATATTATTAAATAATCAAATGACATCTTTATGGATATAGTCTAGTTTAAAATTATTAATATTTTTTAAAATCAATAAATTAAATAAATAAATATCTTAGGCATTGGTATAAAATACAGTAATATAGTAATTGTCCACAAATACATTAACAGTAGCATGGCAATCATTTGTGAACACAACAGTGCATTCAATACGCTAGTAATAAATCTAAACTCTAAACTCAATCTAAACGGACGGGCATTTAATTTTCACACAAAGTTTTGGTCATTTTATCGCTGGACAGATGGAAAAGGTTGGGCGCATGTGTCTCGCAAAAGTGCATCTCTTTTATTTAATAAGAGATTTTCATTTGCTCGGAGTGAGTTTGTATGGGTACAGACCCCGTTCATTATGATATTGGTATTATACAGTATAATTTATACCGTATATATCACATACAGTAAGTGAGGGTTGAAAACAACTTTTATACATTAGATGCAAATTATAAAACTAGATGTGTGTTTGTGTGAATCAATTTAGATCCATATGCTCGCAAATGTTGTCTCACTTCACATGACATCTGCATAACTATTAGTTAATCTGTTGTAAAGCGTTTGTCGTTTAAAATTCTTGTGCATAAAAATTAATATGAAATTCAAAAGCGTTTGTATTATAAAATAGGTTTCTACTGTATTTAATATACAGCATAAAAGATGTAAATGTTGAGCGCATACGTATATAATTTAGTATGCAATTACAACACAGAACTCGATTAAATTATGACAAACTTTTAGCAACATTCTATGTTATAGAATAATATAACCGTAGGAATTCTAGCTATGTCTGAGAATCTGGTACTAAAATGTAATTAAAAATTGGAATTTTTTTTAACAGAATATTTATTTTGAGAGAAAATTGTTAACATTGCACAATATTAAACAGTATAATATTTTCAAAACTTATTT